CTGGATGGCCTACCTGCCTGTCAGCCTTCCATCTGTGCACAAACTTATCTTGTGCCCTCATTGGTCATGTGCACGTTCGTGTGTGTTGGAGGAGGGGCTCTGTAAGGAAGTGGCAGATTTTTTCCGGCTGTGTATTTTCAAATTCTTGCGCACTCGAGCTGGTTTCTCCAAAATTACCTACCCCACCTTTAAATGGGTCTTATTAATGTTTATTTACTCTTTGAATTATTTGCATTGCCTTTGATATTAAAAGGTACCTAGTAATTATAACAGAATCTATTTGTAAAGTCACCCTCCCAACTCTGATGAAAAGATGTTAGTACCAGTGTATTAGAATACACCCGCCCCACTCCTCTGGTTATTGACATTGAAAAAGTTTATATTGCAAAAAAAGCACATTTGTCCACAAAAGCCCACTAAGAAATTGAACTTGATCAAATGTATGTTGCTCAAGTACTGTACGTAAGTAAAAAGTACTTTACTTGAGTTTTTTCACATGCTACTTTATACTTTTTACCCCACTACATTTATTTAACATACTGCATATAGTTACTTTGCAGATTTAGATTACCAATACAAAATATAAACAACTGAATACATTATCATATATTATTATAGGCTCAATTCATTTAAATAAACTCAGCTTTATCAAGTGATGAAATCATTATTGCATCAATAATTATAATACACAATATTGATACTTAAAAAAAGTAGTTAAAATGTATTTCTGTGTGTTTATTTTCTATTTAATTACATTTAATGTTCTTTAAATTCATGTGCAATGAGTGGCAAAATATTTCCCCAAAATTGGGATCAATAAAATACATATTATCTTATCCAATCTAATATAATGCAGCTATTTTAAATATCTGGTGCTTAAATGGACCTTTCTGCATACTGAATACTTCTACTTTTGGTACTTAATGTATATTTTAATGGTGAAGTACAATTTTGAATGCAGGACTTTTAATTAAGTACATAATCGGACTACTTCTTCCACATCTGCCCAACACACACTTTACTTTGCAGGAAAGCGTATCGCCTGGATCACTGAGCGCCTTGCATAGCGGCTGAAGAGGCACCATCCTGCCCCACATCATGTTGTTTGTGTTTGTGTGTACATGCAGGTTGCCAGACGCCCCTTGTTACCATGACAAGTGCCATTAGACACACCAGTGTTTCTCTCTTTAGACCGTAGTTCATACATTCCCCCAGCCTTCGATAAAATCTCACATCTACGTGTGTTTGTGACCGTAGTTGGCCTCCCCGCCTAGATGGTTGAGATGGAAGCACCTTGACAAAGAAAGAACAGCTGATCCTCGGTTATCACTCTGTTTCCTGACGCAGTATCACTGTAAGCTTCCACATCTTTCACATCTGAAGAATGTTCGATACGCAAGGATTGTAGATAATGAATTAGGTTTTTCACCGATGATGATGAGCTCTATCTGTATGATGGAATACTTGGTTTGTAGGTGACTTCCTTACTTCCTGTTGAACATGTTGGTGCTTTCCTGTAGAGCTCAAGCTTCCTCGGTCTAATATCTTAATTGTTTCTATGTTTCCACACTGGATTTAGTAAAAATATCATATCATTTCTAAGATATGAATTAAGCTATAGCTTTGAAGAACGTCACTTGATAAATCACGTTTACAGTTATCAGAATACCTTCTTTACCCCGGGGGAAAGTGGGTTTTGTGACAATAGCTCTGTTGAAAATTGTTATTAAAATACAAAATACAAATATTAATGTAAACACAAGAAGTTAAAGTAAGAATGTGCAATACAAACATTTATAAAACAATAAATAAACATTTATACAAACATAAGAGGCCAAATTAAAATCTATAAATCAATCAAAGTTTTACAAAAAATGATATACACACATATCAATTAAAAGCCCATTTAAAAAGGTGGTTTTTGAGTTGGCTCTCAAAAGTAAAAACACTCTCTGCTGCCCTCAGGTCTTCTGGGAGGATGTTTCACTATTGTGGGCCGAAATAATACAAATACATTTCACTGTGGGTTGGATGTCTTCAAGAGGACGTATTCTGCTCATCTTCAGGTTCATATTTGTATTCAGTGTCTCTACTCATGTCTCCATGCTTTAATGTTCAAAAAGCTCTTTATGTTTCTCATACTGTCTGTGCTGCAGCACCTCTTTTCACCCTCTGTCTGAAGCCAGAGCCCAGTCTGCTCTGATTGGTTAGCTGGCCAGCTCTGTTGTGATTGGTCAACCGCTTAGAGATGTCCCGCCTTAACCCTGTCACGTACAATGTGTTGGAGCACTAGCCAATAGAAGAGGGAGTGTCACAAAATGATGTCACTATGTTATGGAGGTAGGGCTGTGGTGGCTCAGTCCGTAGGGACTCGGCTTGGGATCCGGAAGGTTACCGGTTTGAGTCCCGGAACGACCAAGTTACTACCGAGGTGCCCCTGAGCAAGGCGCTGTCCCTACACTGCTCCCCGAGCGCCGACCTAATGGCTGCTCACTGCTCCTAATACTAGGATGGGTCTAATGCAGAGAACTGGGGCGGCAGTGGTTCAGTCTGTAGGGGATTGGGCTTTGGACCGAAGGGTCGCCGGTTCACGTCCCGATCAGACCAAAAAATATGGAGTGTTGACTGGTTCTGGAGAGGGGCCAGTTCACCTCCTGGGCCACTGCCGAAGTGCCCTTGAGCAAGGCACTGAACCCCCAAATGCTCACTGGCGCCGGCTAGACTGGCTGCCTCTGCTCTGACCTCTCAACTGCATATGCATGTGTGCATATAACTGTGTGTGTATTTGTATATGTATGTGCATGATGTAAAAAGTGTGTACTGTGTGTACTTGTATAAAAACACATGTGTGTGTATGACAGAGTGGAAACTGAATTTCCCCCTCGGGGGATTAATAAAGGTCCATCTTCTTCTTCTTAAACAATGAAACTCCCTCTGGGGGGTACTTTGGGATATTAGCCTTTGCAGACCATTTACATGCACACAAACCTATATAACACACTACCGGAAAGGGAAAACCACAAAAGGTATAACAGGGCCTCTTAAGGATAAGAGGTCTGAGAAGGGACACAGCCATAAATTGTGCTTCTATTTTGTAAAAATAGGATTTTTCTTAACATTGAAACTCAAGATAGGACAGGCAGATATTTTGTCTTTAATGAGGCTCAAGGTCAATCAAATCAAGGTTCCCATTATCTTCAGATAACCTGCATTAATGTAAGCATCCTTTGTATCTCACATATGAAGTTCCTCACTCCGATGGCCACCTGAACCTCTGACTGAAACTTCTTCTTAACCAGAATATGTCACGTACAATATAAACCTGCCCCCTGTACACATATAATGTTCTAACAAATAGGAAAATGAAGCAGATCAAACATTCTCCAGCAGTGTAACCCTCCTGCTCTGCAGAGGATATGAGCTGTTAGGTGGAATGACACCCTGAATAATCAACCTTTGCTGGGGGGGATTGTTGCCCAGCTGAGAGATAGCGTGTGACTGTGTGCAGCCACGGCCACCCACACAGTTAAAAGAGGAAGGTGTCGTGCAGACAAAGACACCAGGCCTCACCGGTCCTTCAGCGCTTTCTTGGAAGAGTCACTGGCGGCCTATTAAGGAAGTAATTTGCTTCTTTTCCCCCCACCTCTACACCAAAAGGGAGATTCCATCTTCACACATGTGAGTTATACTCAGAAAAATAAAGTGTCATTTCAAAGCATGTCACTGCTTTGCATGCAGGCGCTATGCTACGTGTTGTCTGTTCTGATAGATAATTGCAGTTTTTTTAATTTATGGTTCATATTTTGCAGTTTTTGTCCCAGGTAATAGGAAGAATAAGGTCAGGTTCCTCTTAAAGACACAGGCTCATGCAATCACAATGCTCTGAGGTATAATGTGAGAAAGGATTAGGTTGGTTGTGAAACACACGGCTGCGTGTGAACCTCTGGCCCGTCGCCAGCTGAGAGCGAGTTAAAGGACAGGTTGCATAAGAATGGAGTTATGTTTTGATTTAGAAAGAGTATCTGTCACGGAATATGAGTTTAGATTGGCAATATGCAAGCTCAAGAGTCACATGACAGGGCATCAAAGACATATGATGATGTGGATTTTCTTCCTCTTATTTTGATTATTCCTTTCTATAAATAATTTCAGAGTGTAATATAAGCTGGCTGCATCATTCATCACCAAATGGAATCATTATGGAAATTTCATTTTTGACAAATAAGTCACTCCTATAGTGTTTGTTAGTGTGTCATGTGCCTTAAGTCATTTTTTTGTCCTTTAGGCTTTTTTTGTAACATCTAATTGCTTAATTGTACTTTTACAGTTGTGTATTTATATAAACGTTCCAGTAGCTAAGAAGTATTTTTAACATAGTAATATTTGTAGGCTATAGTAGTATTACAAGAGTTGTACTAGGAAACACTTAAAGTTGAAATACTATGGTTCTAAAATACCCCATCACAAGTACAGAAGTATTATCATTAGAATTGACTTTAAGTACCAATAGTAACCAGTATGCAAAAAGGCTCTTTTTCACAGTATTATAGAATTGTATTATTTTTGTTTTTTAACAACAAATACATGCATTGAGTTTAAGTTTTGTAGTTTGTACATGTTTAACCAATTTCAAGTAAGTACAAGTATGCCAAAATAGTACATAAGTACAATGCTCAAGTAAATTGACAATAATTAATTCATTCATTAATTAATTAATTAATTAATTCATTAATTCATTAATTCATTAATTATCATTAATAATGCTCCTGCCCGTAACTCCTTAAACCGTCAAACATTTTAAGCTAATTAAATGTATAAAATGTGATTTTAAGTGAAGCAGCTAAAGTCAATGCTTTGTCAGTGTGGAGACAATCTTATGACCAAAGAAATCGATTTGTTTTGTGATTATCTGGCGCCCTCTTGGGGAAGAAGCTCGCAAGTAAGCTACTGCTGTTTATCAGAACTACAACTCCCATCATGCAGTGTACCCGGCAGCACTTCCGCAATGAAGTGTAGAATGAACAGTGTGCTGTGGCAATGGAGGGGCAAACTGTAAAGGCGATACTGTTTGACTTGGACAACACTCTGATAGAAACAAGTCGGGCAGGAGCAGTGGCGATACAGAAGGTAGAGCTACTCTGCTGTTCTCCGTGAAGCATTAGCATTATGCATGTTGGTTAACTGAGGCTAACGTTAGTGTCAAATGAACTCAGGTGAAAGGGACTTCCTCACGAACAGGTGATGTAGATGTGCTAGGTTGCGTCATGTTTATGTTAATGTCCGTTAATGTGCATACCACCAGGGGTTACCTGCTGGATATGTAATATGTGTTGGGGTGTCGAGGGGGAGGTGGGGGGTAGTACAACTTGAATTTACTCAACATACTATACTATGAATTGTTTTCATATTTTTTGACATAGGCTACTATATTCTCAAAATTGTATTTTTTAATAATGTTGTGACTTTTTAATATATTTGGAATACTTTATGTCTTATCAATATTTTTAGAAATGATTTAAGATGACTTTTTCTTGATATTTAAGACATACATACTAGACTTGTTCGACAAACCATTCTATCATTTTTTTTCTTCTGATATTTAAGACATACTTTAGTTTATTACTTTCTTTCCTACTTTTTCGTTATACTATTATTATTATTATTATTATTATAGTATTCTTTTTCTTTTATATTTTGACAAACTATACTATGACTTTTTATAATATTTCTAAATACGATACGATATGATATGAATATAACTGACATTATAAACTTTTACCTTCCTCGTATTTTTTAACATACTATACTATGACTTTTTCATATTTTTCTAAATAATTTACCATTACTTTTTACACATTTTCAACATACTATATTACTCATTTTTCAGACACAATATGATGACTTTTTTCATATTTTTCTTTGTACTACACACTATGACCTTTTTCAGGATATTTTCAACATAAGAATATTTTTAAATGTAGGACTTTTACTTGTAATGGAGTATTTTAACATAAAGTAATCGATCTAAATACACACCACTGAGTGTGAGTAAACAAAGGTGCAGCGTCTAATGCCTGGTCACATGCTCCAAAGACGACATTGGCAGAATGTCACCTTTTAATATATAGTAAAGAATGATAATTTGTAGTTCATCAAATATTTCACGATTGTTTTACAGGGATATGGATTTTCAAAGTTATGTTTTTTGAACAACATTTTTATTTTATTCATGTTTTTATTGTCATGACTAAAAACACTGTTGGCTGGGTAGTTTAATATATGGTAATATTAGTTGATTTATGTTATATAAAACCTGCAAGGTGACTAATACTGTAAAATAAATGTACTTCAGCAAAAGATATAGTATGAATTTGCATAATGTGAAAATACTCAATAAATTAAAGTACCTCACATGTTTTACTTAAAGGTGGGGTAGGTAAGTTTGAGAAACCGGCTCGAGATACACTTTTTGTTATATTCCATGGAATGCTCTTAACATCCCGATAGCAATGAATATCTTCAGTGCTTTGACAAAAAATCCATACAAAAATGTAATCTGTGGAAGCCGTAGTTCTGTAAAAAACACGACCAATCATTTTAGCCGGCCCGGCTAAAATAACTGGATGGCCTACCTGCCTGTCAGCCTTCCATCTGTGCACAAACTTATCTCGTGCCCTCATTGGTCATGTGCGCGTTCGTGTGTGTTGGAGGAGGGGCTCTGTAAGGAAGTGGGAGATTTTTTCCGGTTGTGTATTTTCAAATTCTAGCGCCCTTGAGCTGGTTTCTCCAAAATGACCTACCCCACCTTTAAGCACAGTACTTGAGTACATTTGCTTCTATCACCAACATTCTTTACTGATAAAGACACATTTTTATATTTGAAAGCCTATCTGTTTTGTTTCTCACAGACCAGTGAACTTTTGAAGAGCTCTCTGGGCCTGGACGACGACACCGTCAGCAGCATCTGTGACAAGTTCAAGCTGAAGCTTTCTCAGGAGAGCTTCGACCCATCAGCCGGCAGATCCATCGATGAGGTGCGGACAGGGCACTGGGAGGAGAGCCTCCAGGAAGCTGTGGGCAGCAGATCCACTCCATCACTGGCGGCTCAGTGCTACTTCCTGTGGAAAAGCAGCCGCCTGGAGCTCCTCAATCTATCCCCTGAAATCTGCAGCCTGTTGAAGGAACTGCGCCGCACACACAAGCTGCTGCTACTCACCAACGGGGAGGCCCAGACTCAGAGAGAGAAGGTGGAGGCGACCGGATGCGAGGAGTTCTTCGACGCCGTCGTGGTCGGGGGGGAACATGCAGAGCAAAAGCCGTTCCTCTCCATCTTCACGCTGTGTTTCAGGATGCTGCAGGTGGAGGCTCAGGACTGTGTGATGGTGGGAGACTCTCTGGACACAGATATTGAGGGGGGGGTATTCGCCGGGGTGCGGGCTACAGTCTGGATCAGCAGTGAGGGGGGTGCTGATGATGGTGCAGTGAAAGCAGACTTCACAATCCCTACTGTGCTCGAGCTGCCACATATTCTGCAGCAACTCAAATGAAGACAACTGATGATACATGTTAAAGGAGGGGACTGTCACTGAGATTTGTAATGATGGGAATTTTAAAAGATTATTTTTTATTTTTCAACAAGGTGCTTTTTTTCCTCGTCTAATGCATTTGTATACATTTACTCAAGCACTGTACTAGAGTACAATTGAGATCAGTGTCAGTGATTGTATATCAGAGGAAATACGGCTCTTTTGACTCCACTGAATTCATTGTACAGCTATGTTTACTTTGGTGGTCAGACCAGGTGTGAATGTATAGACAATAATCGTGATATTAAAGAATATACATGTGGTTATATGATTTTGGCAAATGTTGGGCATGGTTGATATGTATATGTTAATCTGGTTTCCTCTTTACTGTTCATTAGTTTAAGTGTTCTTATTTTACGCCAATTCATTTGCCAAACAAATGCTCAAAAAACAAGATGGTTTCAACTGATAGCATTTTTTCCCTTTAACATTTTCTTTAGGTATTGTAATATCTTTAGTGAATTGTTTTATTTATGTATTAAAAATTCAGATTTTCACAGTCCTAGTTCGGATGAGGAATATACATAAAAAATAACTATACACGTATCAAATTTGTAATATTAAACCAGTGGTTACTTAACTTGTCAAACATGTGACATATGCAGAATTCAAACTAGGTTTGTGACCCAAGTGATGCATCAGATGTAATATATGTGGCACAGGAACAGTTTTCCTGCAGAATGAGAACTTTTCTTTCATATAAGTTTTGATTCTGATGCTGTATTCATAAAGATTCCTCCTACAAAGAGTTACTCAATGTGAACATTTTTTGGAATTAAGATGTTTCTAATAATACCCCCCAATAGTTAAGAGTATATCCTGATGAATGTACTATTCACAGAGCAATTAGTCCTTTAGCTCCTCAGGAAAAACACTGTTGGGAGAGGGAAGGAGGACTGTTTAAAGATGCACTCAAAATTCCCCATCAAACCGACCAACTTCTATAAACTGAAAATGATGAAAGCCCTGTACATTTTCCTATTTAACTTAGCTGGATTAATTTCCAGCATGGTAAAAGAAAAACATGATTATTAGCTGCTTGTTACTTGGCAACTGCGCAAGAAGTACTGTTTCCAATCAGTTTGTAGGATACTTTGAATACGGGCTGCAACATATACAACAAGGGTGCCATGTCTTAAGACTGTACTCTAAGAAATGATTCACTCTGTGGTTCTCTAAGCTACAATTTGACTTTTGTGAATATGGCCCCTGATAATAACCATTTTTAAACAGGACTGTTTGTAATGGAGAGTGCAGTTGGTGCTTTCACCCGAGTAAAGAATCTCAACTCTTGGTCCAGCATCTTTATTTAACACTCAGTGTGAATATAAAAAATACATTTGTTTTTTTTACACACCATAATCAAAGTATCAAATATCAAGAGCCATGTTAATAAAACACATACGATCATTTCCTTTGATTTGACACATTTAGGCATATTTATGGTTGTCCGGCAAAATTCACTTAATATCCAACTTGACTTTGATGTTCATCGCTGCTAGCTCGGCGACAAAGTAGCGGAAGACGTATGGAACCGACACCGAGTCGATGGAGTCACTTTTCCCGCACAGGGTGCAGATAGTCTTGCGGTTACGCATGGACGACCAGTAGGGGGGAGGTTTCTCTAGGAGGGGGGAGAGCAGGCTGCCGCAGTCGACACACACCTGCGCCACCGAGCGGTCGGAGCAGTTGAAGAGGCGGTCGTGCAGCAGGAAGGACGAGCCATGGGCCAGCAGGGCGTCTCGCTCCATCTCCCCGAACCGGATGCCTCCCTGAATGTTCCTCCCCCCCACCGGCTGGTTGGTCACCTTGTCTCGCGCTCCCGTCGTCCTCACCTGGAACTTGTCTGAGACCATGTGACGCAGCCGCTGGTAGTAGACCACCCCGATGAAGATGTCCGCCTCCAGCTCAAGCCCGCTCACACCGCTGTAGAGCCGCTCGGTGCCGTAGTAGTTGTACCCGCCCGCACGGAGCATCTCCCCGAAGTACTCCAGTGCGGAGCTCTCCTCGGAGAAGGTGAAGGGCGTGGCGTCGTGGCTCAGGCCGTGCAGGGCGCCCGACTTGCCCGCCATGCTCTCGATGAGCATCCCGATGGTCATGCGGGAGGGGAAGCCGTGCGGGTTGAACAGGATGTCGGGGGCCATGCCGCTCTCCGTGAAGGGCATGTCCTCGGTGGGCCACAGGCGGCTCAGGATGCCCTTCTGACCGTGGCGGCTGGCGAACTTGTCGCCGATGGTCGGGTTTCGTGGCACCCGCATGGTGATGCAGATGCGTTTGAGGCGGCCCGTGCCCGTGTCGTTGCTGCAGACCTTTATGTTGTCCACCACGCACGCCTCCTGGCTCCTAAGAGAAAAACACATTCACAGTTTATTAAAGTTAAGCGGCAAAATGAAACAGTGAAGAATTCAAAATGTATATGTCCTTTCCTGCCACTAGGGGACTCTAAATCGCAAAAATTACGTGAAGTTCATAACTTAACGGGGTTAAGGAAAGATGATAGGAGAATCCATCAGGACTTAGAAAAAGAGGCTGCTTAGAAAATCCAAACACACTTACACTAGGATAATAAAGGAAGTATTGAAGCTCCTTTCCCATCATCTAAAGCAGGGGTTTTCAAAGTGTGGGAAGGTGAGCCTCCCCTCAGAGAACATAAGAACAGCCGCACCCCCCCCTCCCAATTATTATTGCTATTATTATTATATTATTGTTGTTGCTCTGTTTTCGCTGTCCACCTTTCTCTTTTTTGAGCACGCCATTTGAAATTACTCCGACTGTTTCTCTCTTCTTGTCTCGTCTCTGTGTGTGTGTTTGAATCTATCGCGCTGACTCACTGACTGCACCTGATTGGCTGAGTAGCGTCACCTCCTTAAAACATTAAACAATAACTTTTTCAAACCTTTTTATCTTTATGTTTTAAACATATTTTTGAAACATTTTTAACATTTTCAACATTTTCAACATGATGGATAAATCCTTATATGCTCCCAGCAACACACTGAACGTCAACTTTGCCTCCTTATTACACTCAGCCCTACTTTAGTGGGAACAATGAGTCTGCGTCTTTGAAGCGCACAGGTGGATGATGCGGGGATGCAATGTAGACAGGAATAAACGCAGATCCTCCTCTGGCTGCAGCCTTGACCGGTTCTTGCTTTTGATCAAAGTAAGTATTATTAAAATTAAAATAAAGGGCGGTGCCGGCCGTCAACGGCCCGCTGACGACCGGCCGTTCTGTGATTCTCCAGAACACACAGATGGCCAGGACCGGTCCATGAAAATCCTAGCTTCAAATAGTCGTGGTCATACTTCCTCCGTTTTCTGCCAGACGCCGTCTCCTCTCTCACTTTAGGTAACTTCACTAAAAATCAATCCATGTTACCGCTCGCATAAAGTTAGCTGAAGTTAACTAGATTTCACTGTTTCTCGTAATTTGTTCTCTCCCGCTGTGCCTCCCCTGAAGCTCTCTGGCGCCCCCCCGGGCAGGCGCGCCTCACACTTTAAAAACTGCTGATCTAAAGAATCCGATAGGAACCTTCCTAAGCAAAATTGACAATTCGATCACAACCCTTGCCCGTTTGTTTTTTTAAACCAGATTTCACTCTGAGGGATGACGCCACATGTGTATGTTTAGACTCTAGATGTGCACATAATATAACTTGTAGAACTATAAAAATGGAAGAACCTAAATCACTTTTGCCAGATAATCAAACATTGAAACCTACTTGTAGAAGTTGACGAAGGTCAGGCCGGTGTTCAGGTTGATGTAGCCGTAGAACGGGTCTCCGTATTGTAGAGTGGATCCAATGAATGGCAGTCCATCAGCGTCCAGTTTGTCGTTGACTTTAGGGTCCCCAGGCTTGACCCCGAACACCACGCTGTCTTCTCCCCGCACTTTTTCTGCCAGGTCCACCAGCTCCGTCTTGTAGATGCTCCCGTGGGCGAAGCCTCTCTCCCAGGACGACTTGTTCACGATCTGATACGATCAAACTGGGTCAGGATTTACTATTTTTCTACTATGGTAAAGTAACGTTTGTGTTGTACTCACCATGGCGTCCTCCATGTCGTAGCCTGTGTAGGAGATGACGGCCACAATGGCGTTGGTCCCGCTCGGGTAGTTGTCCAGGTTGTAGTGGTCGTACATGTAGGGCCGCACCATGGGGCTCTGGGGGGTCTGCAGCCGGTACAGCTTGTTGTCGGAGCGATCCAGGAAGGAGTGCAGGGGGAAACCCATCGTCTGCTTACCTGAAAGAAGAAATTAACAGATGAGAATTGAGAACATTTCATGGATGACGGTTCCATTATCAAACCCTCCTATCAATCTGGTCCTTTATCCATTTGATATGAAGTTAATCTGGCTATATTGTTATGGGGAGAAAGATACATGCACAATAACTGAATAATTTTAAGTGTTTTAAAATATTTGAATCTGGTCCAAAAGGGACTAAAACAGTCAAAAATGCGACCCTTTTACGTGGTTACAATCATCAATCAAACTTTATTTACATAGATCTTTTCACACAAAAGGTAACGCAAAGTTCTTAAAAAAACAATCTAAAAAAACTAATCAAAACATAAACCGCCTTTCTGTTTTGATATCCAGATGTTCGGTTATTGGTAATTAGTAATTGTAACAGATTCCATTTTTAAGTAGCCCTCCCAACGCTGACGTACCCATCTGACACTGGTACATGTTCCTGGGGCTCTGGTTGTGGTCGGAGTATGGGATGAAGCTGGCCACCACGCTGAGCATGCTGTGAGGGAAGAGCTCCTGGTGCGTGGTCACCCCCGGCTCTATCTCATCCTCCATGATGCCCACATTGATGTAAAGCTGGGGCAACATAGAGAAAAGAGGAATAAATTACAGTTTCAGAGACAACACAACATGGAATTTTTCAAAAACAAATGGACACAGCTGCTGAAAATATGAATGCATGTATACATTATATATGTATATATACACTAATATGGATCAGCTTGTAATGACAAAAAGAACACATACTTGTTCAAAGGTGCCGATCAGCTCCTGCTTGCCCAGAGCTAAGTTGCGTACGGGTCGTACCATCCGGCAGGGGGTGGTGAAGAGGAACACGCCCGGGTACATGCTGGCCTTTCCTGTTTTAGGAACCAGAACGATCTCAGTCCAGGGAGGGATCTTCTTCTCTTTCAGCACCTGGAGGAATTTGTTTTAAATAGATTAAGATTGATCCCAGATTGGGAAGCAGTTTTGTTGCAGCAGCATGTTTACAAGACGTTGATTATGAGTTAAAAGTAAAATAAAAATATATACAGAGTACATATATATAGAAATGAACAGTAAAAGGGTAAATATCTAAAGAGTACATATAGAAATGTATTATATATATATAAAAATATTTATTTAACATATACACAATATCAAATTAATAGAATAAGGTATGAAACGGCACAATTTGCAAATAAATAAATAAAGATAGGATACTATATACATAGATCATATTAGTTGGCGAGTAGATTTTGGGTACAATTTGCTCAAGGGTATTAACGGGGGAAACAGTGAAATCTGGTTAAAAAGTAAATAATTCATATATAAAAATGTAGCCAGAGGTGAAGTGTTGTAGAGGGCTGTTGATTTTGGTCGGAAACATTTCCTGTATCAGTCTTTGTGACAGCGGAATACTATTATTGTATTATATAGAATAAATATTTACGCCCCGGCGGATGTGATTGGCACAGACACTGTTTAACTTGTACAGTTGACGTACCTTGAACATGCGCAGAGAGTCCACCACCACCGGGGCGAGCTCTGCCTCCACCCAGCCTACCACAGCTCCATCCAGCAGCACAGGGTAGCAGTCTGCGTACGCCTTGCCCGGGGTCCCATCCATCGGAGTCACACCTGAGACAACAAATATGAAATACACATTAAAATGTGTCAAACAAAGTAAAAGTACAGAATCTCATTCAATCTCATCAAGCTGGATTCACATGACCAGTGCCAATTCTCAATTCAATTCTCGCCTAGCACTGGGCTCAAAGTTCAAATTATTTCACCTTTGACCCTGATTTCTGCTGACCTTTCGATTCCAGAGTCGGTGGTTCAATCCCCTCGCCCCATGTTTTGATCTGTCATTGGGCAAGATGCTTAAACCTCAAACTGCTTCCGAGGGCTTGGCCAACAGTGTATGAATGTGTGTGAATGCTAACTCAAAAATGTATATTTTATTCTTGTTATATTCAGTCCTGTGTTTGACTTCTATTGGTTTTAGGTGTTTTTATAAATCAAAGGTTACGTGTAACTTGATATTTATTGGCTGACAAGGCTGGGGGGGGGGCGGGGTAGTATTGGTTGGTATGTGAAGCACTTTGTGTTACCTTTTGTGTATACAGTGCTATATAAATAAAGTAATAATAATACTGTTACTTCTCTTTTCTGTCATGGATGTGAACTTAATTGATTTAAATGTTATTAACGTGCCTTTGTCTCTTTATTCAATATGTTGGTCTACTCTTTTATTTAGTCTTTTATCTGCAGCCTCCCCTTTGCCGTAACAAAGTAAATGTCCCGCCTCTGTGTGAATAAAGGAATTCAGATTTAGCAGATGTGTGTTCCTCACCGAGGGAGCAGAGCAGGGCAGGGAGGGATGTGGTGGGTAAGGTCGGCGCCACGATCTCACAGATGGCCGTCATGTGGTTCATGAGTCCGCAGGGCTCCCCGTCCGGAGTGTGCACGGGACACAGGAAGCCCCAGGACTCGGGGAGCAGCTTTCGGACTGAAGTGGTCCTCATCTTGGCGAAGGCTGCTCCTCTGTGCACGCAGCGGAAGTGGGACAGGTAGCGAATGAAGTTCAGTTTGTCAGCTACAACGCACAGGCCTGTGTTCTGCATCATGCCCAGACCTGTGACAGGGGGAAGGGATGTTGGTTTAATATGGGAACCATAGACTTTATACCACTACTTAGATTCCAGTTGCTGAAAAGTACACTTTTTTTTTTTTTTTTTTAATCAACATTTAAATCCAACAAAATACACTGCTTTGGGGTCATCTCTACATATTAACTAACTGGGATTTCTCAAGCGTCAATGCAATTTTTAGAACTAAAAAGCGAACTTTTATCAAACTACATCATGGTCGCATGACTGCGCATTACCACAGTAAGCTAAGATAAGGGCGGCTAATGTCAGCGTGATGAAATTAAGTCTTATTTGGCTACTAGTTAGCAACCACCATTTGTAAGCTATAAAAAGCCTCAGAAACTCACTAGCGGGATATTTACTTAAGTGTTTTATGTCGGATACTTTTTGTACCTAGTCAAACCATTTCGGGCTTCATGCGCCACTGAGCAACTTTATTAGAATGAACAGGGTATCCAGTTCTCTTTATACATCCATGATTCCTGCACGGGTCTATTGAAAGGGCCGACTAACAGCAACAATACCATTAATGACATTTATATAAGTGCAATCAAAGGAAACCGTTTTCTCTTTTTTCAACTTATCGAAAAAAAGGACGACTGTCTCAGTGGCAATTTAAAAATGCTGTATGGTGACAGGTATTAAACGCTTTAGAAACCCTCAATAGAAACGTTCAATGTAAATATAAAAGACGTTCGGTACAGCCCCTACTCAAACAGAACTCATAACACTATACCTGTCTTGGAACTCAGGTTCCCGGTGGCCAGCAGATACTCAAAGGGTTTGGTCAGGTCCGTGCCCATGTTGAATATCTTGATCACGTTCTCAGCGGTCCACACTGTGCTCAGTCTGCTGCCTCTCTTCTCAAAGGAGAGCTTCACAGACTGCAACCAGGCAGACATCCTCTCCTGTTGGGAACAATGCAGGGGTTCAATCCATAAGCAGAGATGTAACTGTAGGAATACGATCTAGCTGTTTGTCAGAGCCTTCATGTGTCCATCTCATTTCAATTTGATATCCGTTGTAGAATTGGGAAAACACAAATAACTTTTATTCCAAGTGTCACCGGCAGGTCAAACCAACAGGTTAAAAGGGCCAGACACGATTACAAAAACAGGCAGTCCAACAGCGGAACTGAAGAACTCATAAACTCTCTTAAAGTGACAGTACACAATTCCAAAAATGAGTCTGTTTTAGACATGTAAAATTAAACTTCAATTCTCAATAAAAAATGTCTTATCCTCTTATTAATGTACTTTGAATATACTTAAATTCAAAATGTACATCTTTTAGAAAACAGCCAGGAAGAGCTCTCTTAAAGTAACAGTACACATTTCCAAAAAATGAATAGAAGTCTTTAGAATTCTAATCTTAATTCAAATCTCAACAGAAAGGATCTTATGTATAATGATTACTGCAATTTCTATAACCCTATTCCAAAAACACATCTTTTACAAAATGTGGAAAACTCTTATAAGGATGACAACCCAAGTCTTGTCCTATATGCAAGATTTAAAAAAGATATGTTGCTTCTGCATTCCTCAGTGAGCATACCTTCATGAACATGAGGTAGAGCTGCCCAGGGGTGAGCACCTCCTGACACATGATGCTGTCTGGGTTCTCCTCCATGCACTCCTGCTTGGCGAACGTGAAGAGCTTCCTGGTCATCAGACACAGCAGGTAGAACTTCTCCATGCTCGACTTCAGGTGGATACAGATGCACTCGCTGGCCACAACAGAAGAAAAGGTTCTTCATTTTACTAAATGTACGCAAAAAGAATTACACAGACTTTTGGGGTTGTACATTTTGCATCATAATCTGTTGTTTTTCAGTTTTTAAAGCTGCCTACATTATATTTTTTATATATATCTCATTTACCATTTTTAGGTTTGAATAAATAACCTACATAAAAAGCTAATAGATCATGCATTTTTGAGGGCATGGAGAGAATTAACACAACCATGCGGTCAGTTTTCATGTCACACAAAGCAGATTAATGTAGGTGTTTATGTACAAATAATTTGCTTTGGATATGATGAAATACAAACAATGCAATTATACAAACTTAGTGTTCATGATTTTAAATCAGAAATGTGTTCTGAAGGATAATCTGCCCACTCTCCCCGAACACATTTCTCAACCCCTGATAACAGTATTGTCCCCATCAGGCTGTTGATATAAAAACACACTTACTCCAGCAGGTAGTTGGCACACTGCTCGTTTGTGTACCACTCCGGCAGGTTCATCTTCACCCTGAAGCGCTCCCCCAGGTAGTTCAGCACCTTGCTGCGGGAGGTGCACCCCTCCTCCATGACCATGCGCAACATCTCCGACGCACAGCTTTTGTAAAATGAATTGTCCTCGCGGCTCTTGATCAGCTCCTGGTATATCTGGAAGTCAGTGAAGTCCACCAGGGCCTGGAGGAGAAACACAGAGAGTTTATACCTTCAGATTGGAGAAGATAATGTTATGTAGATATTTAACATTTCTCTTTTCCCTGAAAAATGCATCTTGTTAAGCGCTGAACGATTTTCTTAAAGAAAACAGAAATGTTAATTAATATCACAATATTATTATGATTCAGGATAGGAGGGATTCATATGGTGGCCTAGAAATGAGCTACAAAGGCCCAAAACATTTCAATAGGGAGATTCACTCCGGGGACTGGCTTCAGTAGAAGCTGCTGGGAGTCCCAGCAGCTTCTACTGAAGCCAGTCCCCAACTCCGGGGACTTCCGGCCGGGGTCTTCGGGTGGCAGTATACGGCGTGAAGTTGTTTGCGGCCTGCCAGTAAACCCAAAGCAGAAGAAGAAGAAGTGACGTAAGCGGCTTCATTTGCCTAATCCTCCCCCAGGGACTTATTCCGGTGTGAACGTGATCTGTACTTAGTTCATGAGAACTAAAGAGTTCTCATGAACCTTTGTGGGAAAAGTACTGCGGTGTGAAAGCGCCTATAATTGAAGCGCTGCAAAAAGCACACAACTGCTGTTGACTAGGTTAGCCAGCTGGCTAATAGAAAATCTGCAGATCTGAAGGAATCATGCGATCACATTGTTAAAATAAGCCAATGAAACTTACATTTTAGGCAAGTTTACAGTGACAGTTGGCCAACATAATTATCCCAGAATGCGTTTTTATTTGCAGCATTCTGCTTTTGCAGCACTTTTTGTAAATGCTGCGCATGTGTTGTCAAGTTGGTGAAGATGTTCTTTATTTATATGTGTTTTGACACATTTATGTTTTTTTATTTGCATCGTTTTGGAAGCTGCACGGGTTTCCCCTAATTGGAAATGTTTTTGGCCGTTGTAGTGCGTTTGCACTTGTCGGCCACCGTAGGTTGACTATGTAAAATACAAATCAATATGATCATGGTGTGATTCTTAAAGAGGATCTGTACCTAAAATGTTTTGTTGAACAATTTGTAGTCAGGGATATCTCTATCTAATTCAAATTATTTGTTTTACATATTTAGCCGTTAACAAATATTATTTTCTCAAAAATGTGAATATTGCACTAGTCCTTATTGCGATTTGGTAAAAATGTTGATTTTTCGTGCAGCCTTAAACCTTTATTAACCTTTTTGTATTACCTTAAGAGCAAAGCCTAGTGGGAGGAAGAAGAGCTCTTTCTGGTAGATGAAGTTCAGCATCACCGTCCCGTTTTCCAGATAGTGAAGGTTCATGTTGACGGCCGTGTGCTCTTCCTTCACGCAGCGCATTGAAATACCTGTGGTGGGGGGGGATTTAAATTACATTTTTAAACAATATGAGGCTGTAATGTTGAACCTGCACTAGTATAACCCTTCTCATTTGACTGAGCATCATCTCTCAGGTGATATTTACCATACTGAGTGTATCCCTGCCCCCTGCTCTTCCACTTGGGTCTCGACATGGCGATGGGATAGTTCCTCCTCGGCATGATCAGCATACGGATAACCTTCTCATTTCCATTTACAATGAAATAGCCTCCCATTTCCTGTTAAAGTGAATGAGGGACTTGATTCATAAAATGGGCCTGCTTTCCTTATTATCCCTCAAACGATGAGACAGTTGGGACTCACCTCTGATTCTTCATGGTGCTCCACCAGCTTTTTGGGGGACAAGCCGTGCAGGTTGCACAGCTTGGACTTCACCATGATGGGCACCTGACCCATGGACTGTTTGATGATGCCTTTGGGGATTCCGTTGATTGACCAGCTGACGTCCGCCTGAGATTATGCAAACCACAAACGGGATTAAAGAACAGTCCAAAGTGTTATTATGTCCTAAACAAACACCCTCAAAATTGTAGTTAACCCGCCGGCGCGTCGAGGTGCGCATCATTTACGTAATTAATCATATATTTTTCGATTATAAGGAGTAGAAATATGATTCAGATAACCGCGGAATCGCTGGAAGTGTAGCTTTCCAGCGTTACCTCCTGTGAGACTTTAACCAGGGCACAGCAGCCAATATGGCCACTAAAAGCAGCTTGACTCGCCGTTACACTGTGTGGGATTGGTGGATTCGTGTGTCCGTCAAGGAAATCTCGGCCGGCAGCCATGTTGGTCTGAAATGACCAATGGACACTCGAGAAATCACCAAGAAAAAAAAACATAAACCACGTGTCTCCGATGAGTTTATGTCTGTGAGGAAGAGAGAGAGAGACCGAGAAAATGGCTTAAAAGAACTTTACAGTTGCCGACTTCGCTAGAGATTTGTTTCGCTAGCAGCAGTGAAGATAGAGCCTCAGAACCTGAAGTATTCCACTCTTCTTCTGAAGAGGAATACAAAGACAACAACAAGGATCCATTTGGACATGGGTAAGTGTAAATATTACAGTAATAGTGTACTTGCAATGTGTGGGGAATACCACGAAAATGAACAATAGGTTTATTGATGTATTTTTTTTATCGATAGTCATGAATTTTTTCTTGGGACAAAACTCTCCATTAGCAAACGTTTTATGTGTAAACGTTATTTTGGTGTGTAAAAGTGAGATTACATGTGTAGATGATTCAAATAATAATTTATTCGTCCCACAACGGAGACATTTACAGTGGCTATATGTGACATGTTTTTGCCATCGATTATTTTATCATACTGTTCTGTACAGATGAGACTTTGTCATAGATTTATTTATATGTGTGCCTGTGATTATTTTACCATACGGTCTTGTGCAGATGAGACTTTGTTAGGCATTGTTATTTGTGCTTGAGCAACATTTTACTTGAACTTTATTTCAATTAAATTAGTAGTAATTATTGTCCTACATTTTCATTTGTTTTACAGAGATGTTTCACAGCTGCCTGGGCCTAGTGGCCCACAGGCGGCGTATATCCAGGAGCCAGAACATCCATCTGTGCCTGCCCCAGGTCAAGATCTACCGTGGCTCAAGGGCCTTCACCAGAGCCATCACCACCAAGGACCAGAGGACCAGCATCAGCTGCCTCCACCTCCATCTCTGCCTGCCACCAGGTCAAGATACACACGGCACAAAGGCTCTGCCACAGCCATCACCATCAACCCAGCCAGCAAGGAGGTCTCATGGAGGTCTCGTATAGCACACGTACCCCCCACCTACACAGCAGCCCATGCACCATCACCCCCACCTACACAGCAGCCAGACCCACTGTCTTGGAAGACGGACAAAGACCTTGACACTGTCTTGACATTTATAATGAATAGTTGGTTGAAAGTTCTGATGATCAATATTGTAAATAGTGATATTTTCCAGTTTCTTATATTTATATAAATAGTTGGTTGAAAAAAACATATTTATAATATATTGCTGGTTGAAAAAAAAAGTTTGAATGCTCAATTTGTATTTGTACACATCACATGAACCTTGGTATGTAATATGAAGTCATTATTCAGTCCTAATGTATCTCAGACCCTGCTATGGTGAAAGTAGAGTGATAAACACCTAGTTTCATTTTAGACATGAATTACACATTTATATACAGTGTAATTCAAATATTTCACTACTTTTGTGATCCTAAGACATTGGTAACCAAATCTAAAACACCCCAAAAATTGGATGACATGAGTAAATGTGTGTTTTCACAAGAGTTTTGAAGAGTTTCCGAAGATCGGATGTCAAATGTTAAGCTTTAGAGCTCCTTATCTCATCACACAGTGCTCTAAGGTGAGTCATTTGCATTTATAGCAAGACCATAGATTGTCCTGAACATTTTGATATGCAACACATGGGGTGCCATGTTATAAGAAGTACATTTAAAAGGTGATTTAAGGAAACATCTAAGAATCGAGAAAATACCCTTAGACTCCAGAGGGTTAAACAGAAGAGAAGTACATTAGAAGTACTGGAATAGATCAGTTATAAGACCCTGTCATGTCATGTTATGAGCCAGACAGTCCTACATGTATTTTAATATATTTTATCTTAGAATTTGTATGCCTAAAGGTGAGGGATATACTTTGTTAAGAGTAGCAATGTAGACTTGCGTAAATATGACTTTTTTGTTTAATTTAAAATAGCCCACTTTTAAATACGTCATACATTAACATGAGTTGATGATGTGAAGTCACTCTTATATTTGACAAGAATGTCTCCCATTTGTCCAGGACATTCAAATCTTCTGAGACACGTTGACCTGAACCTCACATGCAGTTTAGATAATATCATTGTTAGCATTAACACATGTGTCAGACTCACCACTAGCTTCCCTTTGTACGTGCATCTCCTCCCCCTGCACTCAGCAGGAAACACCTTCATCTCCCTGCAGATGTTGCCCTTGGCGACCACCGGGCTGTAGAGGGTGGCCTCCACAAACGCCAGACTGATCCTGTCATTCCTGAACGTGAACTCCAAGGGAGGGATGGCCTGAGAGAGATATGACACATCCCAAAAAACATGAAACAATCCTTGAAAAATACTGAAGGGTCTCCAAAGTAACAAACAGAGAGTCACTAAAACAGACTATAATAGGGGCAACGTTTTCGGGGGAAAAACTAATCTACTTGGTGCTAGCTTTCACTGAGTATTGATGCTAGAAACCTAGCTCAACACATTTTGTCAACAAATGTTTTATTATATACAGTGGAAAAAATATTCAGAAGTTTTACTCAAGTAAAAGTACTCATACCACACTGTAGAAATACTTAAGTAAAAGTACTATGGTACCTAAGTAAAAGTATTTAAGTATGATTGAGAAAATGTAACGTATGAGGAGTAATAATACTCTATTACTACATTTCAAAAATATTTTAAAGCAAAAGCACCAAAGTCACTAGTACATTTACTCAAGTAGGCCTGCTGTACTTCCGTACACTTTTGAACTTTAATTGAGTATTTCCATTTTCTGCTAATTTATACTTCTACTCTAATACATTTAAAAAGGGAAATAATGTAATTTTACTCCACTACATTTATGTAATAGCTTCACCTAGTTTTAACAAAATGCATCTCTAAAAATGTAAGTATTTTACAAAAAGTAAATCAGAACTTTGTCTGTCTACAACAGTTAAATGCTACATTATGCAACAATATTATCTAGAAATGTCACATTTATAATATAGTTATATACAGACATGAAAGCCATATATCTTCACAATGGTTAATTGTTATACTTTAAGTACTGTTGATAATACTTTTGTACTTTTACTTCAGTAATATATTGAATGCAGGAAGTATTTTGACAATAATGTACTGCTACTTTTATTCAGGTAAAGCCTCTGAATACTGCTGAGAACACTGAGCTGTTATGTGCTTTAAAGCTGAGTTTACAGCATGTTAAAGTGACCTGCACGACGCGGCTCAGTCCATCAGTCAGAGCCTGGTCGAAGGACTCGATGTGGGCTTTGGTCAGGTCCTGCACCGCGGCATGCTGAGACTCCTTCAGGACCCCGAAGCCCCTCTCTGTCAGGTTCTTTAGACTCGGAGCTTTAGGTAAATTATTCCACTTTGTTGAGGAGTCCATGCTTGCAGTCCCAGGGATACATATGCTTGTTTACCACATGTGCATGGCGACACAGGAAGTACATCCCCCTGACACCGGAATATGTTTTCTTCTTCTTCTTCTTCTTCTCTCGGTTTTTGGCGGATTGCAAACAACTTGAAAGGTGCATACCGCCACCTACTGTTCATGAGTGTGAATCATCATATCATTCCATCTCTTAACTCATGGACGTATATCTACGATTAAATCAAAAAATAAATAAATCAACAAAAAACATAAAATAATAAAACAAAACAAAATAAAAATCTATGATCTTTCCTGACCTAATGTTAAATTATTTTTCCTACCCCAGTTTCACTCAGAAAGGTAAACAGTGCCTTTCTGGTAGCTCTTACTCCCTCTCCTTTTGTTCCCAGAATACCAACCACACTCCATTCCCTCTCTGCCTCTAAAACTTTAGCCTTTAGTTTTTCTCTTTCGGCTTTATAGATGTCACAATGTAACAAGATATGTTCAACATGTTCTTTAACTCCACAGTTCCTACACTTGTCACTGTCACTTTTCCCCATGACATACAGCGTACCATTCAATGCTGTGTGATTTATTCTGAGTCTAGCTATCATGATTTCCTCCCTTCTGTTTCTTTCTTTATAAATATTAATTGTAATTGTCTTTTGTACTTTATGATACTCTTTGCCTTTCTGGTCTTTCTAATATGTTTTCTTCTTCTAGGTGGCAGAGGACATATTTGTTGTTGGTTTACTGCCCCCGTGTGGTGTAACATATTTCCTTTAATGTCTGGTTCTCTGAGCTTTTTATTCCAGGGGCCCCTTTTTTGCAATAATAACTGTATTTTGTGATGGTTGGTTTTCTGTTGGGATATATTAAACGATTAAATGAACTGTGTAATAAAACCCTCTACCCAGGCTTGGGGAGTAACGGATTATATGTAACCGGATTACGTAATCAGGATACATGTAAGGTAACTGTATTCCCTGCAGTGGCGGTTCTAGACCAATTTGACTGGGGGGGCCAGGCTGGGGCCAGGCTGCGGCCAGGCTGGGGCCAGTTATTTTCTGAGGAGGGCACAATAAATGCAGGACGAAAAAGACAAAGACAGTATGAAGTAATTGCGCATAAGAAAAAAATGCAATACAGTTATTGGTATTTGTTTCAGTACACATATTTATTTCAGATACTTAGTTACATTTTCTACGCTCTAATGGGTCGGACTAGAACGACAAATAGCGTTAGTTCCGCCTATTCCGTCAGCCAGGAAATCGTTTAATCATAAACTTTTTTTTTTTTTCATTTTCAGGGGGGGCCACAGGGGGGTCCAAAGTCAGTGTTAGGGGGGCACTGGTTGTTAGTTGTTATAAAAACTATTTAACAAACAAATAACAAATTATTTAAAAACAAAAACGTGCTCCTCAAAAGGCAGTGGTGATATAACTTTATACCCTAACTCTGTCTCTATATGTCAAAAAACACCAAACATGTTAAACCATGATAAACAAATATGAACTGCTCAGACAGGACACACAGAAAAACAACAAGTGTATTCATTTTGCAAAAACGTTGACATAACAAACATGGCAGTTTCAACTCTGAAAGAGAAAAACATGCAGCTCCCAGGGACCTCGACAGGTGAGGCACACAACACTTTCTAACTCATGTGTAATCTGAATACATCTGCAACAAAAGTCCTGATCTTACTGAAGATATTGAAACATGTCACATTATATATATATATATTTGTTTGTGATGGAGTTATTACTTTTGGTTAACACTAGTTGAGCTAGAAGGCTTTTGGAAAGTAGTGGGTCAAATTAAAGGTCTGCATCTCTACAGTACTAGAGAAGGATTAGTTCATTAAATTAGGTGAATAACAGGAAAACAGTATGCACACACACAAGGAGAAACTGCAGTTTATGGAAGAAAATCATGAAAAACGTTCTTTTAACAAAATGAATGAGAATAGCAGACCTGTATCCATAATAAACTTTGAGTTGATTGATGTTTTTTCTCATCAATAACTTGCTTTCTAGTAGTGTTTTGTTGAATTCCCCTCATTTAAATGATCTGAAAATCATCTGTGTTGCTTCGTGTTGACTTAATGTTGTGGCTTAACACATGTTCTCTCCATGTGTCTGTCTCATGACCTGAGGCTGAGATCCAGCACTTGGACGTGCTGCACAGTGTGTACCAGCTGCAGGACTTCACGTTCACCGGCACCTTCAGTTCAGTCGCTGAGTGCAACAACACGGAAACCAAAGAGACTTTGGCCATCAAGATCTTTAAGAAGGGGTCCCAGAAGCGCCACAGAGGTATACATCATCTGAGACTCTAAATAGCCCATTTCATTTAATGCCATCTATTAATAACTGTTTCTTAGATGCCTAATGTTTTGTGTTTTCTCTCCAGCTGGCCATGCTGAAAATTATCCGTGGTCTCGATCCGATCAACCTCGTTCGGTTCTTGGAGAGCTTTGAACACAAAGGGTACTCATGTCTGGCCTTTGAAAGGTTGGACATGAATCTGCACGAGCTGCTCAACGACAGACCTGGCAACCCGCTCTCTCTGGAGGAAATCAAACCCATCACACAACAGGTATGTGGATGTGATCTAACCATGATGAGTTGTTTACACCAACCAGTTTTAAATTGTCCATTTTCAGCTGCAGCAACTTTATTTATCTTCTGTCTCTGCAGCTGCTCAGTGCCCTGAAGTCTCTGAAGACTGTTGGTGTGATCACGCTGATATCAAACCTCAGAACATCATGCTGCTGATGGAAAACAACCAACTCAGTCAAAGTGATTGACTTTGGTTCAGCCGTTGTATCTGCTGAAGTCAAGCGTGGTGTCATCATGCAGCCTGCTGCGTACAGGTGGGTGTTTGTGTTCCAGTTATCATTAGTTGTTTTTTTTTGTAATCGAATCACATCACTGTATGTAAAACATTCCAAAATTAAAACGCTTGTCTTCCACCCTCAGGTCTCCTGAAGTTATTATGGGCCTTCCCATCACAGAGGCAGTGAACATCTGGTCTATGGGTGGTGTTTTGGCAACCATGTACCTCGGCAGCCCGTTATTCCCTCAGAGATGCCTGTATTATCAGGTATGTATTCTAAAACACTTAGATTATGGTGTATATCTTCAATATCCAAATAGGAACTCTTTGGCTAATGGGATTTCTGTTATCCAGATAAAAACCATAGTTAGGATGCTGGGTAACCCGGACGACAAAGTCCTCAGAGACGGCACCCGCTCCCAGCTGTATTTCAGCCCAAAGCAGGACTCCACAAAGTCAGCATGGAGGCTCAAGGTATGTCACTCTACCTTTCACTGCGTCAAGTAGAGCGGATGTTGGTTTCTAGAACTGGGCCGAGACTTGGAAAAAAGGAACCTTAAATATTAACTCTACTGTTTTAGACTGTTGATGAGTACAAGGCAGCGACTGGCTTCCCTCCACAAAAACACAGAGGGAGTTCAACCAGTGTCAGACGTCTGGACGACCTGCAGAAGGTATAGGGTCCTTCTCTTAATGTACAAGTAAATAATTAACAAGTTTGGAATACCCATGGTTTGGTTTAGATCTCAGCCATTTTTCGTTTTTACCTCTAAATTTAAACAATGTTGGTTCTAGTGAGTTATCCGACCGGCCCACTTCAGTACCGGCCCATCGGGATTCGTCCTGAACGTCCCGATGGCCAGTCCGCCACTGCCTCTGATACAAATGTTGACATATTGTAGTGGATTACTGGTAACAGCAACTACATTATTAGTATTATACTATGTTTTTCTCAAGTTTTATATCCATTTTAATGCAGTTTGCTGGCAGCTACCTGGTCATATTAGTTTCCATGAGAAATACTAAAATAACTTAGCCATAACAAAGCCACTGCAATAGATATGTTTAACCTCCTTTACTATGTATTACCGTTTTTTCAATTGCTAAAGCACATTAAGTTTAGACGGGGCTTATTTCCTCAAAACACTAAACACAATTCACAAAACACACAAGTGCAAAATACCTCATATATCTTGCTAAATGAAGCACTGCACTCAGAACTACATAAACACTTACCAATACAAAACAAATGGCACACACTTGACTTCCTTTATAGTACAAGACACTTTACCCTTTGTTGACGCTACTCCAATGTAGGAAGTCTCCTTTGTTTTGGAGATCTGAGCTGAGGTTTTGCTCTTTGAGTGTGAGTTTAAATAATTGTGCTTTATGTCTCATTTTAGTGTGTTAGCAACTGAAAAAAAATCTAAGTAGGAAAAGAAACAGTCCCACAAAACAGTGCAAGTGAGAAAACACCAACCTCTACCACCTGGGGGCGCAGCGGGACAACACATGTCAGTAATAGTGTCTAATGAAAAAAGACAACCTTAAAATCAGAAGATGTTTGAGGGGCAGAGGAATACATGAAGGATTTCAGTTGAAGAACCCTTTAATTTGACCATGATCTTATTATTTACACTTTTCTGATAAGCACACATGTTGAGTGGTCTTGGTAGAAACAGCACAGGTGTCACTGACAACATTAACATACATTTTTTAAAGCAAAAATGTAGTTCAACTTAATATTTTTACTTTAAGCTAACATAATACAATGTGGCCGGCATTCAGAAGCTCTCCTATTACCTGGCTTTAACGTAACAGAGAGTAATAAGGTTACTTGTATTTTGATTCTCAGATTAGGTTCTGATAACATCTTTACTAGTGATTGTAACGGAATACATTTGTATTGTAACCCTCCCAACCCTGCCTCAAACATGTTTGTATAATGAATATACATATAACTATTTAGTTTTACACCTGGATATAAAAAACCAAACACACAGAGGTGTGGGGGCTGCGTAACTGTACCCGCTTCCGCAGAAATCTCTATTGGCCGCCACCGTGGTGTGGGCGGGACACGACGCTGTGACTCAGTTCTGAGTCACTGCACGACCTGTCTGTCACATACTGCCTGCTGCTGCGTTCATGTACCATGGGGGAAAAAATGACAT